AATTCCATTTCCACAAGTATGAAATAACCATGAAAACAAACAAACAGTGCAACTTTATACATTGGAACATATTTTGTATAGGTATCTCCAGCATGGTTTCTTGGCTAATGGCCAGCAGGCCCATTATCTGCAACTAATGGCGCAGAAAGAAATTTTCTTCCAGAACTACTTTCTCATTGCTAGGAAAGCAAATTAAAAATAGACTTTACACGTCTGGGGACCAGACAGCAAAAGCTGGGAGAGCTCTATTAACTTCTGTATGCTCTAAGGCTTTACACTCTCTGAAGATCTGGCTCACTGATTTCCTGAGGAAAGATTAGGAAATGAACCAAAAGTGGGAGATATGCCTCCTGCTATGTACTAGCTTGATTTATATTTTAGAAAGACTTGATTATTTTTATCCAGTTCTGATATAAATGGTCATTGGAAATTGAATGCTTTGCTCCCTACTTATAATGGGTAACTATAAAAATGCTCTACAACTTTTGTTACATTCAATAAAAAATCTGGGAGTCAGTTTTAAGCATGTCTTCCAAAAATACCCTGACCAAATCACACATATTTTCTCATGATCCATGTCTAGTTCTGTTCCATGCTACAGTCCTATTCGCCTTCCTCATCTCACACAGAGTTTGTAACTCTCCAGTTTCCCCAGACAAACTGTTGATTAAATCTTCTTAAGAGGAAATGCTGAATTTGCAGCACACAGTAATTCCTGTTTAATCTCTCTCCTGAGCCTCCCTTTGAAAACAGGGTAGTATCTTCTCTTCACTGTTCTCTCAAAGTAGCAATTTCTGTCCATCACCATCCTCAGTGTTTGCCTCCAATCCACATCACTCACTGCTGGTTTTGGAGATCGCACCTCCTTCTGACCCCATGATGCAGAAGCAGATCCCATCTCTCCATTCCCCCTTATATGCACCTGCATCAGCTATCAGCTGTGCAACCACTCAGTTAAATTTCCTATTGCAACTGGGTATTCCACAGAAAATCAAGTCTTAAATTGCACTATGATAACTCTTTTTCTTCCTTGAAATAATGTTTTCATTGAGATTCATTATATGTCGGTATAATTCGCTGTAGGACTGGCATCTGGCATAAAGTTTTTGTTTAAAGACTATATGGAACACATATTAGGTGAGCAGGGTTTATTTGTAGATTTTCCAATACAGAACCATGTTTGCTTGCTTATTGTCAGTACAAAAGTCAAAGCTTACCCTTTCATAAAAGGAAGTTGGATAATTTGTCTGGCACAATGAGGAAATGCAAACAGAACTTAAGATTCAGAAAGCTGAGTGGAGTTTCAGACCAGATGATTCATTATGATCTGCTAAATATAAAAAAAAAAACCCTTTAAATATGAGAAAAAAAGAAAGCTTTTATTTTTTCTTTCTCCAGTAATGCCTTCCAAATTTGTTAGTTTAGATGCTACCTCCGCTGAATTGGAAATGCATTGTAAGACATGTGATGAAGTCATAACTTACTCTTCAAAGATGTTTTGGACAAGTGCTTAACAATAAGATCTTCTCCCAGAATCAGAAAGGCGTCACTGTCATCACTATCTCTTATCTTTCTGCTTCCTGCAGTACATTTGCAGATCTCATGTTGAATAGCTAAGCAAGCTTTGAGTAGAAGAGAGAAGCTTGAAGAAAGTGACCAAACTTAGAGCATTTTTCAGCTGCAGACTTTAGTGAAGCTGCAAGAGTGAGTTTATGTACTTCTGGACTCAAAGTATTCCTTTGTTTAAAATCTGTTCACCTACAGTTTTACAACACTGGTGACACCTCTTCCATTTTGCAAAAAGAAGCTCAGACAGAGGTACTAGGTGACCAGTGTTTTTAATTGGCAGTTTAGACTTCAACTAATATATCCCAGGCCAACAGCTTCTTGCTTCCCTTATTCTTACCTTTAGGGAGATCTGTTGAAATTAGCACATGAATGCATGGAGTCAACTGAAAAGGATGCTCAGCAGAAGAGCTGGGAGGCCAGGGGCTCAAGTGAAGGTGTCCCTGGTCATTTCTGCCTTTTTAGCAAATGTGTCTCTGTGAAACATATAGGCAACATCCTTTCTATTGAGAATTAGAAAGGATTTCTATCATTTCCTAAAGGGGAGCTACAGGAAAGAAGAGGACAGACTCTTTAGCAGGGTCTGTAGTGATAGGGAAAGGGGAATTTGTTTCAAACTTAAAGAGGGGAGATTTAGGTTGGATATAAGGAAAAAGTCTCTTACAGTGGGGGTGGTAAGGCACTGGAACAGATTGCCCAGAGAGGTGGTGGATGCCCCATCCCTGAGACATTCAAGGCCAGGACAGACCAGGCTCCAGGCAGTGTTAACTACTTGTGGATAACCCTGTTCATTGCAGGAGAGTCAGACTAGATGACCTTTAAAGGTCCCTTTCAGCTCTGAGGCTACAGGCTTGGGGATGAGTGGTTGGATGACTGTGAAGAGGAAAGGGACCTGGAGGTGTTGGTTGATGCTCAGCTGAACATGAGCCAACAGTGTGCCCAGATGGCCAAGAGGGCCAAGGGCATCCTGGCCTGCATTAGAAATAGTGTGGCCAGCAGGAGCAGGGAGGTAATCATCCCCCTCAGACTAGTGAAGCTGCACCTCGAGTACTGTGTTCAGTTTTGGGCCCCTCACTACAAGAAAGACATTGAGGCCCTGGAACGAGTCCAGAGAAGGGCAACGAAACTGGTGAGGGGTCTGGAGCACAAGTCCTATGCGGAGCGGCTGAGGGAGCTGGGATTGTTTAGTCTGGAGAAGAGGAGGCTCAGGGGAGACCTCATCACACTCTACAACTTCCAGAAGGGAGGTTGTGATGAAAAAGGATCTGGCCTCTTCTCCCAGGCAAATAGTAGGACCCAAGGAAATGGCCAGAAGTTGTACCAGAGGAGGTTTAGGTTGGACATTGGGAAAAACTTTTTCTCTCAGAGGGTGGTCAGGCACTGTAATGGCCTGCCCAGGGAGGTGGTGGAGTCACTATTCCTGGCAGTGTTCAAGAGGCGCCTTGGATGAGGAGCTACGAGATATGGTTTAATTCTTGTGGTACTAATAGGAATGGGAAGGCGGTTGGACTAGATGATCTTGCAGGTCATTTCCAACCTTGTGATTCTACGATTCTATGATTCTATGATTCTGAGAATTCTATGCGTCTACAATCCTAAAAAGCTGGCAGCACAATACAGAACCTTTATTTCCCGCTAGCCAGCAGGATACAAAGTCAGACTAGACTCTCTTTTCCTTTTTGTCCAACTCTTGTTTCTCATCAAAGTGCAGATCCAGCTTCAGTGCAAAGAGTAGCCTCGTGATTTGGGCACCCTCAGCAAGTTGGAAGTAAGAGATGGAGGTTAGCTTCTCCATGAAAAAAACTTCTGCCTCACTAGACCAGACCACAAGTTTATTTTGCACATCCTTGCTGTCTCATATTTGAAAAATATGAGCTTTGTGTTAGTCTCCAAACAGCACCCCTCCCAGAAGAGTTCCCTCTGGATTCATTAGTAGTAGGATATTTCCTTTCTTCATCTAAAAACGCTGTAGGTGGGTGATGCCTCCATGCTGAAGTTGCAGGAATCCCAGACCATCCTGTAACTCACTTCAGGCATTTTTCCAAAGCCCAAACCTGAAATGCTGGTGGATATCCAAGAGCTTAAAATGACCACTAAGAATTATTTTCATTTACGCACCCTTTTAGGCATCTTCAGTAGTATTTAGGAGCCCTAAAAATGTCTTTTTCCCCATTCTTACTTGGAACATCTCAGCTACTCTGAGGTTCAAGTTGCCTCGAGCTCTGAAGGTACCAATCTGAGCACCCATGTCTTAACCACATCCTTGTGATTCTTTCCCCTGGATTTAATCCATAGTTTAGAAGAGAAGAAGGCAATATCAGCTCTCAACTAGAACACTGCATATGTCCAACCGTTGTTATCTAAATCCATACCCAAATTCCTACAAAGATCACATCCCTCTCTTTCCTGCATTGTTTTGCCAAAAAGCCAGTTTAATATAAACATACAAGAATTTGAATCTTCCTCGAGCCACTAAGTACCTTGATACAGTACTTAAAAGTGATATGAGAATGACTGCACTGGTCCCAAAAGGAAAATTGTGGTTTGGTTCATATAAGAGCTTTGTTATTTTCTCTGGAACAGTGCACAAAGGGCCCTTGAGATGCAAACATTGCTCTTCTCTGCTCCTCATATATCTAATGGCCTAGCTGGTGCCATCATTTCTGTCTCTTCTTCTGACTCATACCCATGTAGTTTTCTCACAATGCTTCGAGGCTTTGGTATTGCAGCTCGATTGTCTGCTCTGGTGAAATGGTGACGATTGATCACATTTCCTCTTCGTCCTGACAAATGGGATGAATGGTCGCATCTATCCAAGTGTGCCATTGGAACCAGCTCCTCCTGGCAGTGCTTTGCTATGAGTGGCCGTAGTCGGGGCTGGGGTTTGAACTTTACTGGGATTCCAGCCTCAGAGCTACTTCTGGGGTGATCTGAAAGAAAATACAGAATTCTTATGACGAAGGAAAAAAAAAAAAAGAGAAACACCATGGTGTTGACAAGGGCAGTTAAATGCTGTTCAGTACTTTAAATCTTGAAATGGAAAGATTTTAAGTAGTTGTTATAGAATAAGAGAACAGACAAGATCTAAAAATAATCCTAAATCTTTACTTTCGTCCCAATGCTGATGTTTAAAAGATTTTATTGATCTTGCCTCTACTCTGAAACCCCACTGAGAAAACATTCAGATATCTTTCCGTATGTAACGAAGCAACTCATACTTCCTCAGACAAGAGTGTTCCTTCATGTATCTTTCAACTTTCTACTGATTTCATGAATATATCTAGTGCAATGGTTGAAAAAACACTGTAAAGCTCACAGCAGAAATCAAAGAGTGACTACAAAGACCCCTAGAACCACTGAAAATCAAGATAACCAGTCACCTGTTATTACCAACTGGGAAGAAAACAGTTTCACTTGAAACCAGGAGTTTGGCTTTATGCTTTGATTACTTTGGGTGTGTCAGACCTACTTCTACCAGCTTGCAGTGCTACAAGTACACAATAAAAATTTGACTGCAGTAGTCCCTAACTGTCTCTATTATCCTGATGAGTTTACAAAATGTACTTCTTTTACTCTTTTTAAGTCCACGTGTAGTGTGACTACTCACTAGAAAATTAGTTAATTTAAGAAACACCTCATAAAAATCTAGGAAGTTTTGGGAGATAAAGCTACATGAAGAATAAAATTAGACCAGATCCTGTAAAGCTTGCAGGCTTTAGGTATAGTCACACAGTCAAAACTTATGAAATTATCACAACTTAATAACTATTAAGCTATCTACATTTAATATTGACTAGATCATTGGCACAAAATAAGAGGACATGCACCTGCACTTAATTCCATTGAGTAGGAGCACAAATTTTTAACAGCAGAACCTTCTGTTAGACCATGTGGACCACAATCACCCATGAGCAATAAGACAGGATAGATATTTTCTGATTTATAGGATTTCTACTTAGTTCGCTGAGGACAACAGTGCCACAAGCTATGACTGATATATTCTGCCAAAGAAATGACTTATTTAATGAATGACAGGAAAAGCTGTTTGTTTAAGAATCTATATATTCACAGTCACTTCTGTCCTCTCATTTGCTAAAATTTTTGCTTGTCCTATGTATAAGTTAAACCAAGCTTGCTGGAGGGTGCTTACTCCAGAAAAACCTCTAGGTCTTCCTCCTGCTGTAGACATTTCAAGTGGTATGAATACTAAGATCTCTTCCCACCCAAACCATTCTACACCAGATCAGATAATCACAAAATGTTAACTGAATGTTCATTTCAGAGTAAATATAACTCTAAATTATTTCAAGTATTTGATTTCCATGCCTTTATGACTCCCCACCCTGTTTTCCCTTCCATCTAATTTTAAAAAAGCCCCCTTTAACTGCAGGAAAACCTTTATGCTCTAGTAGAAATAAGAAGTAATAAGACTATATTTAGATGAGTTCATTTTGAATTATTTGTTGGACAGAGACTATAGCACAATGTGTTCAGCCTTGAATTTCATATATAATTGATTTTCATAAGAGCATTACAGAATATTTTATGGAGTTTTATGAAGTCAGAAACAATACCAAGAAGTCTAATTATTCAAATACATCACAAGACAGGTCTCAAATTCAGGCCTACCTACTAGTAAAAATATGTCTATGTTAAATGCTTCAGGATTTACTCATCACTCCACTAAAATATCTGTGCTAGCAAGACTTGGACCTTTGAAAGTGTCTGAAAGGCTTCTAGGTCTGAGGCTGGTGTGTAGAAAATTTTGAGTATTTTAGAAAGACACAAAAAAACACATATTCCCCACCATGATGCCCCAACAACCAAATTTGAAAGAATTTGTTCTTCAAGAAAAGAAAAAAAAAAAGAAAAGAAATTGAAAACCCCCTGGAATAATTTTGATCTTCACTTCTAAATAGATGGGTTTCTGCTGTCTCCACCACATGTGTAGGTGCCTAGCACCAGGGGGATGGTTTATCTAAAGAAACCTCTTCTGATTTAATTTATTTCAGAGCAAAATAGAAAGAAAAGGAAGAAAATATTTTTGCACCTGTGTGGAATATCTTTGTCATCCAATTTTTGATATAAAGATGATGATTAAAAACATGGTTTTAATCTCTTCCAGTCAATTCGGCCAGAAATGAAGAGTGATTTTCAGAGGTAGTTGATTATATTTCAGAATCACAATGAAAGCTCACAAAGGAGTCAGAGAAATTACATAAGGAGATACTGATGACTATTCAAGTGTCCTAAATTCCATGTTTTCTCTGACACTACCATTGTGTTTCACTGGGCAATTCCATGTTGCTCCACCCCTGACCACCTCAAAAAATAATATGACTAGCTGGTTAGTATGTCCAATGATTATTACAGAAATGTTCACAGAGAGCAAGCTGGGAAAAAGAAAAAAGATACCAGGTAATTTCTGGGATACTATGGGAGAGTATTTTGGGATTATACACTCCTTCAGTAGGATGTTTAGGGAAGGAACCTTAAGTGTGTAATGTAAAGGATCAGGGTGGTTTGGGGAGGAACAAGTGCAGAAAAAAACAGAAGAAGAATGGGATACAAAAGGAGATGGTTGCATGTAAACATAGGCTGATCAGTATGTGTGTATAGCCATGCCATATGCCATATCGAGACTGTCTGGCCCATACTGTTGTTAAACTCTACTTCTGTTTTCCTGAGAGAGCAGCTCCCTGTACAGTGTGCATGTGCGTATGAAGGTCTGAGTACAGCAGTCAGAAAGACTGGGGTTCAAACATAATGTGTTGATGCACAGTGCAAAATTGCTAGCTATCATCAAGGCAGTAGGATAAGAAGTAAATGTTGGAGTAACCATAGCAGACACTGAAGAGATCAGGTCTGTGAGTTAGCTATTGGGTGGACCAGGAGGTCCAGATCGGTGATTAGAGAGAGCATGGGGTCTGTGGCTGGCTACTGGTAGGGCCATAGCCTAGACAAGGTACCAATGAGACTGGTTTGTATGCATGTATCCCTGAGTGCAAAGCAAGGGGAGACTAGGGGAACCAGGAGTCAGCTAGGGGCAAGACTGAGTGCTCAGTGCCAGTTACAGAGGGATCTACTCCATGTATGTTCATGTTGGGGGACTGTGCTCACATGTGTGAAAGTGTATGCACAGTTTTCCACTACCAGCCTTTCATCATGTTCAGCCAGAGAAGAAACAGGAAGAGGCTGTTAGTGCTGTGTGATTGTGTGAGTGCTGTGCTACTTGGGGTGGCTGGCTGTGTGTGTGTATACACTGAATTATGGTATGTGGGTGTGCTACCGGGAACTCCTCAGCCTCACTGTCCTGGGACATAGAGATGTGGGCACGGAAGTGTGTCATCCTCAGCCTTATCAGGCTAGTGACATAAGAATCTCCTAAAAACTCCGCTTAAGTTTTGGCCATGGGGCTGGAGGAAACTGTTTCCTTTCTTGGGCTTACACGGAAGTCATCATGCACGTGTTAAATTGCAGGGATCACAGGAGTCTTTGTGCAAGAGGAAATTACAGAAAAGTAGGAGGTGTTGGAACAAGACAGAAACTGCAACAGTCATAACCATATAAACAGTGGAGATAAAAAGATAGGAGAGAAGGGTGTAACTCATTTAAAGAGACCAGTGATTTCCTTGCGAGTATTTATTGAGTACTGTTAAATCCATCAAACAACTGGCCAATTATCTCACTGCTAGGGCAGAATACAGCACAAAATATTTCCATTACCTGTAAAAGTAACATGCCTGGCTTTCCGCCTAGTGGGCTGGCCACTGTGGCCCTGAGGCAAGGAGAGGTAGCGCATGCTTGTGGCATTAACCTGTGTACAGAGAAAAACGAGTTTAACTCAACTTCACCGCCAGTGAAAATCAGTGTTTAGTCAAAGGATAGGAATATGCTCTTCTAAGATTCACCTCTCCTATTTCAGATAACAACTAAGAATTAAATGGAACTTTGTCCAGCAAGAACTTACTTTTCTTCTTGAACTGTGATTATTTCAGCTGTAAATGTCTGTGCTATCCAGTGTCCGCATTTGGTCAGAAAAATCTTACTCTTATATTGTACGTTAGAAAGCAATGCAAGTTACATTACTTCTTACAGCCACAGTAGGTGATTTCTGATCAAGGTATAGAGAGGTAGGGCATAAGAAATGCTACTGTCCGCATGCTAAGCAAAGGTGTTTTTTTTGCTAAGGTGCTGCATGACCATGTTGAACAGAGCAACCACTTTAATTGTTGCAAAAAGCATATACAGATGGATGCCTCTTTCCCTTTTGCAGAGAAGCAGAGGCACTTTTTAGAGTTTTGACTACAGGAATAGCAGTTTGCATAACAGGTACCGGTCTCCCCCAAGGTAAGCTATTCCCCTTCCTGCAACTCTGCCTCAGGCTGTGCTGCCGACGGATGAGGATTTCCTGGGCCTGTTTCTCGCTGGTGTTGGAAGGCAGGTTGTGGCGGTTGTATGACGGTGCCTGTAACAGAAAGCACACCCTTTGCACATGTGATGTTAATAAGGAGAAGCTGCGCAGACCAAAGATAGCATGGCCAAAGGCACACTACCAACTTGATAAGAGTCTCTTCTGTACCTTGAGCAAAAAGGCAACCTCACACTAACCTTGCTCTTGCTCAGCAAGGGTGCATTTCAGAATGAATATCAGGAAAAATTCCTTCTCAGAAAGAGTGGTGAGGCAGTGGCACAGGCTGCCCAGGGGGCTGGTGGAGTCACTGTTCCTGGAAGTCTTCAAAAAACATGTGGATGTGGCACTGTGGAACATAGTTTAGTGTGCGTCATGGAGGTAAACTGGTGGTTGGATGAGGTGATCTTAGTGTTTTTCTCCAACCTTGATTCTATGATTTCAATGTCCTTTTTGGTAGACTCATGTCAGCTCAAAGCGCACCATAAAACATATCCACCTGCACAAGCCTGTCAACACCTCTGAGCTTGGCCTCCCTTTCTCAGCCCTCTTCTGGTCATGGAATTGGGAGCAACAGATCTGAGGTAGGTCTCAGGAGACAGATAGCTTGTTAACACATCTCTGAACTTTGGTACTAATATTACTGAGCCAGAGCAAGTTGCAGATATGTTGAGATGTAAAGAAAATGCTTAGAGTGTATCTCCTGAAAGCAATGCACAGCTCAGTTTGCTTTCCATATTTGGAACTTAATCCCTTAATATTATACCTCAATATTACCCTAACACTGAACTTTTTTTTAGGATAAACTTCTTAATTTATTGCTAATATCTTGTGAAACAGAGGAGAAGAGAATAATTCTCTGCCTTAAAAAAAAAAAAAAAAAAAAGAAGTTTAACAGAGGAGTTTAAGACAAGAGAAACTTAAGTGCAGAATCTAATCTAAATCTCACTTGAGTTGGTTCCTTCTGAAACTGGTCTGGCAGGGCAAAGTATCCCCATGCTTTCAAAGTTTAAAGTGAAGTATAAGAAGCTGTATTACTTTACTTTCAATCTTTCATTTCCAAAGCACACAGTTTTCAATGCCACATAGGAAGTGACTGGCACTAATGGTCATTATTGTAATTGATTTTGAAGAGAGAGAGTTCATTTCAGCTATCTAAATGAAGGCAGCCATATATGCAAATTGTTACTGGAAAGATAAGAAATTAATATTATAAGGATAATTGGCCATGGCAAATCAAACAAAATTGAGAATGAATATCATATTAGTAGTGACATATTTAAATGAGCAGGGCATAGTGTTTTCTAGCTAATGTGTGTTACGCGAGTTAGCTTAGTTTATCTGCATAATTTCAAGGTTATTGTAATATATTCTCTCCAACTCATTGCTGCATGAGATCACTCAGATGTACAGTTGCATATTCTGGGTTCAAGATTGAATTAAGTAGATAGGATGTCTTGGGCTGCATCGGAATCTGTACATATTTCTGTAAAACAAATCCCCACTAAGGTATTATTTTTGAGGGGAACAACAAAAGCCTGTCAGACAAAGCTCCAGAGGATGTGGAATTTTTCTTTTTTCCTCTTTTGGCGAGGGGAAACTTTAACTCCCACGCAGAGGGAGGATGCAGCAGCCTGCCTCCCAACTGTCTTTGAGTTACGTGATGTTTACCACCTCCGCACTGCAGTTTCATGGCTGCTGGCGACCTGCCATCCTGTTGTCCCCAAAAAAAGCCTTGATACCCCAGGTCTCCTCAGCAGCTGCCAATGCCGTCTGCCACCATCTACTGTCCTGACACGCAAGGCACCTGCCCAACTTCCCAGACTTGGGCAGAGTGCTGGGTCCCTGAGAGGCCGTGCTGTGCCTTTTTGGTGTGACACAATAAAACATGCCTGTGCCTGCTGCTTCAAATACACGGGCTGAACTACAGGGTGAGGAGGTGGCACACGTGGCTGTAGGGATGTGTGGACTTCAGCAGAAGCAGGCTATAGGCCATGGGTGCCTGCAAGGACAGGGTTGGAAGGTCAGCCTCAAAGTCTGTTTCTGAGTTGCAGGTTCAGTGAGGGAAGCCTGACCTCTACAGCTCATTCCTGGATATTCTTGGCTTTTCCCACTGCTGTCAGAGTGAAAAGCTGGTGGAAAACCCAGCTTTCCATTTTTCCACTCCTTGCCTTCTCTGCACAGCTGCTGCTGGTCCCACCACTACCATCACCCTTGCCATGAGGTGGGGAGAGCAAACAAAAGCCTTCAGTCAGCAAATACTGCATGATAGCAGGTTGCTCACGTACCCTTTGTCGCACTTGGTACAGGTTATGGGCCAGGACATCCCTCATGGACTCCACCTCTGCAGGGGAGAGCTTGTTATCACACCGGTTTCTACAGTGCCTGTAAATAAAAAAGTTTAAATACAATATTAAGCTGATTAAATGCTCTTGTCATCAAATGGAACGTGATCTGCTTTCAGCATTAAGACTGTGAAGAGCCTTTCAGTGAGCAGTGTTGCCACAAAATTATTCAAAGCTGAATGAATTACATCAGGCTTGACTCCTTCCTGAGCTTTATCAATACACAGGGGTGGTCAGAAACTCCCCATATATTGGACTGAACAGCCAATGAACAGGAAGGCATTCCAGTTTCTTCCTGTGTTTGAATGTGTTCTTCATTAGGGTCTCATAGTCTCAGCCTTGCTGTCTTGCTGGCTTTAACTCATCTTCAGCACATCCTTAAGATGTGCTTAACTAAACTTAACTAAAAAGTCTAAAAGATCTGCTCTGTGGCTACGAGAACAGGGTTTCCTTGGTGTTGTGCCCATTTCTCTATTTAAAATGAAAGAACTACCTAAAAGATAGTAATCTTTGTATTTTTTAGCAAACTGGGACAAGAAGTGCATAGTCATTTGTAACTGCCTGGCCTTTTCACTAGCAAAACAAAGATGAAGGCTGCTGTGAAACATTAACTGGGTTTACTAAATCAGTCTGTGCAAAAGATAGTGTTTGGTTTCCAAAACCAAAGAAAGAAAAAGAAGAAAGTCATTATCCAGGATGAATCAGTTGAGTTCATCTTTTTGTTTCTGGTTTTTTCCTTTCTCCATTTTCCTTCTTTTCTCTTAAACTTTTATCATGTCTTTATTCTCAATGAAGTGATGTCCTTAAAGTTCTGCCTGCAAACTGTGCAATTAAAGAATGGATTATTATCAATGTACAGTATTGCCAGAGTTTTGTGTACCTGATTTTTACTCCCTCTATAATAAATTTTAACAGCAAAGGAAGGTAGATTGAAACTTAATTAAGAATATGCTGTAATCATCTGAATGCTTGCTTGAATGCTTGAATTCTGCAATTACTGCTAGTTTAATAAGATTATCACATTTTGTACTATAATCAAAAAAGACAGAGGGAAAGTAAAGTATTCTTTTTCTGAATTTTACCATAAATCTCATTTATCTCGGCTTCAAGAAATCTATTCCAACTAATGTATGGTTGACACTGATCAATTCCCAGCACCAGCAACAACAAACCTAGATATTTACCAGCAGGGAAAACAGACCAACACCAACACCTAATTTCAATCCAGCTAGCGTTTTTGTTTGATTGGTTGGTTAGCTGGTTGCGTGGGTAGGTTTTACTTGCTTCCAGCTCTCAGGGATAACACTGAGAGGATCCAGTTATGCTTCCAAATTCCCAGGCTTACGTGAGCATTTTCAATACACCTTTCTCCCATATTGAGCCTGACATATCCCAGGCTGTAGGACAGTCCACGTATGCTATTTTTCACAGCAAGGAAACTAGTCTCTCAGCGGCCCCTAGTTGCAGTCTCTTTGGACAAGACAGGGATTGAGAAGCTACGGCACAACTGTGAAAGCAAACATAAGCACAGCCCTTTGGGACTAATGGCAATCAGCCTGTTAACTCGTACTGCTCTCTAAAACATTCATCTCTAAAACTGAATAACCATAGCTGATACAAACTATGTTGATGTCACAAGGAATAACCATCTCTCTAATGGATATTTATAAGGTGTATTTCTCCAAAATGCAACCCTAAAAACATAGTTTTAATTGTATTTGCTTGGCTATGTTTTTGCCTTTAAAATCTTTACTTCTAAGACTGATATTCTCCAACCCATCATAACATAATGTTCTATTTTCATTTCTCCAGTTCACACTGAAAATGCTTAGTGCATATTGAATACTTACTCCACCTACAGGACTCCCACCTATGTGAATTCAATATCTGAGCACAGAGTTAATCCACAGCACTGGACATCTGCCTTGATTGTTATAGAGTATTTCCCCATGTGTCTCTAACACAACAGAAGTGACCAGAAGTGCTCATCATATTTCTCACTACCGTGGCACTGCAAATACTGCTTTAGATGGTATAGGGTGGAATTTGGCTTCAAATCGCTATTGGCTCATGGTCAGATTTTTATATCCCAACTAAGGACAGACACAGTATTTAATCAAACAATTTAAACATGCTTTCATTCAGAAACATGTTAGTCTTAGGCAAGTTTACTTAATTACTCAGAAGAATGGAGGTATAAGAGCTGCTGCATTGGCTCAGACCACAGATCCAATTAGCTCGGTTATTTTGTCTCCTCCAGGGCTCAGCACCAGACACCTTTTGAAGAATAGAGTTGGGAAAGCTTGTATTTTCCTGAAACACTCTTGTAGCCCCCAAGGACCAGAAAGTTTCCAAGCTACAAGAAAGTTACACCTTTTTTAAAGGTGACATTTTATTTTTAAAAAGGCTATCTCAGTAGGAAAAACTGTACATCACAAATTGATGCACAGTAAAATTCATTTGCAGCTAAAGTGGAGCTGGCAAATCTTTGTCTATCATATCAGCTGTTTATTGTAGAATATTTTTCAGTCTAAATACTTATCTCAGGAGAGATTTTCTGAACTAAGCTGAAGCAATTTTTCTTATTTTCTCTTTCTGTCAAGAAAAGAAAGGAAAATGATTTGTTTACCATAGACAGTCTACCAACCTTGCACATTTACTCTAGACTCAGAACAGTTAAGGGAATACAGCAGACAGAAAGGAGCCTGACAGACACACAATCTCTTTTAATATGATCCATTTGGCAAAGAATGACTTAGAAAGCAAAGGGCTAGGTCTTACACTGCAAGCTGACTCCAGTTTCAAGAAAGTAGATGAATCTTTACACGATTATGTCATTTTCAAGAGAGATTTTAGTTTAAATTCCAGTTGTTATTTGAACTTTTTGGGGTGATGTGAGAAAAGCTTTCACTAAAGAAGGTATGCTGGGCCATGCCAAAGGCTGCTGCAAAATGAAAGGACATATGCCTTGGGAGAAGGAGCATTCATTTAGCATTCATTTAGCATTCATTTAGCATACTGAGAAAACTAGGAAACCTTACTGATGTAAATTCCTTATTTTCCCTGTTGAAAATCCAGAGTAAGGTTAAGAAAGTGTTCTCCTATCCCCTCCTGTCTTTTTTTCCATTTTCTTGTCTTCTCTGCAACCATGTTCTGGCTAATGCTGGGTACAGAAATACTAAAATATAAGAAAATTTGAGGGACTGAAATCTGAAATAAAAAAACCCTGCAAATGCTAGAAGGAAATTTGTTTGAGATACTAGAATCAAGACCTTTCCTCCATCCTCTCCTTCACTTCTCTCAGCAGCTGGCAGTGATGAGTAAAACCCTTCCACACCTGACTCATGATGTCTCTTCTCTGCCCATCACTGAAGAAAAATATAGGGAAAAAAAAAAAAAAAAAAAGTAGTTACTCTTAAATTTCACTCTATGAACAAAGAATCTTTGTGCCAAAGTGCTGGCCCAAAACAACACCTTTTCTCCTCACTACTCTCTTTATCTTACTTCTCTGTTGAAGTCATAAAATTGCTTGGGTGGTTCCTCTTTTTTCTCTCCTTCCTGTCCTTACTCTGCAAATGATAAAGAATCTCATACTCACTGTAAAGAAGCTGTGGATGATTCTGAAATTTTCATGGCATTCTCAGCCATCTCAATGGCCAGTTTTATTTCCATCTTTTTATACAACGACACAATGCTGGATTTGGGTTGATGTTCCCGAATTAAGATTTTCTTCAAATACTTATTGTCAAACTTCTTAAATCTGTAAAAGAGATACCAAAATAAAAGGTAGGAAAAGGATTTTTTGTTGTTGTTGTTATTTCTGTGGAAATAAGCTGATGCTCATTCAAATGTGCACACAGCAGTAGAAACTGAATCCAAATTGGAGGCATCTGTGGACTCCTGACGTACAAGTGAACAGAGACTTTTAAGAGCACATTTGGTGTGGTTTGCTGGTCCATAGAAATTGTGAAACCCACTGGACAAAAGGAAGTAAAAAGCTGCAATCAAAGCAAAAAAAAAAAAAAAAAAAAAAAAGGCTGGGAATGTGTTTGCATATAACCCTACCACATTTGTAAGAAAAGAATGTGGCCACTTTCCATGCTTTTGTACAAACGTTGTATTCTAATAGAGCATAACAGCAGCAGCTGCTCTTACAGTAATCCTGGCCTATTCAGCTAGCCACCAATAATGCTCCAAATGCCCCTATAGTTACAGTATTTTGTGCCCATTATGCTGCTGATAATTTTGAATCCTGACAATTAGAGTGGAGAAAATATATGTCTTTGTATTTTGAATGTCAGAGGAATTGAATGGACCTCAAAGTGCTATGTACATGCATGCTGCAGATTGAAAAATGTCTCTAATGTACGGCATAATTTAAATGTGAATGTATGTGTGTGGTTTGGAACAGGTATGTCCTTTCAAGCAGATGTTTATCAGCACAGCAGCAGATTCTCTTACAGCTTTCTATGAAAGGAACATATTACCACAGCAAGGTAATGCATTCCACAATTTTAAGAAAAAAGCAATAGAGTTTGCACGTTTTCTTTACTTAAAATCTGGTCTTTATATTTTAATAGAAAAGAGAGGTATATAAAAGTTTCCACTGGAAATGGAGCTCCTTATGTTTTTCTGTGTACCAGAGAGCTACTTGGAGTGTTATCTCTTAGGTAATTAATTCTGACACACATATGCTAGGCATCTTTAAAGCTACAGAGAAAAATCCAGTGAATAAAATTATCTTACATGAAATGTTTTCACATACAATGTGCTATTTGAATCTGCTTCTGCACTGAAACATTACATTTATGAAAAATTGGACAAAATTATCATAGTTGCAGAGATGTGGATTCTAGAGGAAATAATATTTTTTTCTCACTGGAATGTGGCAATTTGAATGGAATTACTACTTCAAGAGTGATTTGTTCAGCCTGCACAGGCACTGATATGGCCTCAGGGGTTAGCCTAAAGCTATCTCTACTCTGAGAACCAGAAAGACATTTCAGCATCCAGGTCCAGGTATGTGCCCTGTCTGCATCCTCATACCCTGATGGGACAAGAACTATATGTAAACCAGCCTTCTTCTTCACAGTCCAATAGGGAAAAACCCAGGCAAAATGGGTGCTGCCACATGTCCCAGCAGATGCCAATTTGGATTACTGGATTCCAGTGCTGAAAGGTAAGCCAAAGGACTCAGGCACAGAAGCCTAAGCACAGCCTAAAGGATAATATTTAGCCCATGGCTTTTGAGAAAAAGGAAGGTGAGTAAGTCTCTACACTTCCATTCATATGCTGAGGTGTTGGCCAGCACGACCACTGCAATCACTTGGGGAAGAAGGCAGCTCAGAATGTTGGGTCTCTTCTGAGCAATTCCTGGATCGACAAAGCTTCAAAAAATCAGCTTATCTTGCTCTTAGAAGACCTATCACAGGTTCTGTGGTTTTTGAGTAAAGACTAGCTTGAAACTATCAACTTGTGCTAATAGATTCTTATATTCCACTATTTCCTTCAGTGTTATATATGTTACACGCTATGTGTTTAAAGCTGACTGAGTACAAAGACCTGTAAGAACAAATGGGTAACTATTATTGAATTTGTTTTCACCTACAAAGGATAATATTTGCCAAAGAGGCTTAAAGAGAGAGGCAGTGAAACACCACTCCCTATTCCAAATCCAGTCTAAATCCTAAGGAAGCAATGTTGCGGATCAAAGATTTATGCCAAAGCGTACACACAGGCTGATGCCTGCAACATGAGTTTATCTACTGTGTTTTTCTTTAAGAAGGGTTCATTTTCTCTCTATTTGTGCAGAAGCAGTTTAGCAGACAGCATATAGGCACTGCACTCCCAAGAGATAGTTGTTACTCAGGAGTTTACCTTTAAAAAAAAATATTGCACGTCTCAAATATTTTCATGCTATTTTCACCCGTGAGGCATAAGATGGATTTCTTATTTTATTTACTTTTTTTATTTTACATCACAGATGATAGGCTATTTTATTGTAACAGTCTGAGTAAGATATGCTTACTTATCTCTCAGCTGGTAATGACTCCAATGTCCACATATATCTTCAATACCAGCCTTCAAGTGATCCATCAACTAGAGAAAAAAAAAGTGGCCATTATGAGAAAATAGTGTCACCACAAATATTGATTGACAAGATTTTGAGATTTTTAAATGGGGAGGGTGAGTTAATTCTGAAAACATCTAAAAATCAAGGCTAATATCCCATTATGCACTGTCACAGGTACTGTGCTTGGCTGCTGTGTCAATATTTTGATTGAAGTGGTAATGCTGTCAATATACCATCATCTTACCATCACCTAGCAAAACACAGACCCATGTAAAGGACTGTTCCCAGTAGAAAACAGTACTGAGCATCCAAGCAGCATTCTCTTCTTTGTCTACTATGACCAAAACCTAAATTATTGGGTTTGTCACTCAAGTCTCCTCTCAGCATACATGACATCCTTCCACATGCATGGGGGCAGGTACTCTACACTATAACTTTTACCCTGAGACTGCAAATCCTCTGGTGATTTTGCATATTGTCATGAGAACAGCATCACTACAATCAGAATTTTCAATCATCTTTTTTTTTTTTTTTTTTTCCAGCATTACAGAAATAAATAAACAGAAAATGACCAATTCTTGTATACATACAGTCATACATTTTGCTTTTAAACATTAGTTTTGTTCAAAGCTAAGTGTAAAAGCTGAAATAGCAAGAATTAAGTTCACCTCAAGTTGAAATCAGTTGAGATTTTCTGATTTTGCCAGTGTCCTTGAATGTGTTTAAGGCACAACATTTTTGTTAATTTTGGATATATTCCCTACTGTGAAAAGGAAAGCATGTACTTATATTTTGTTTAGTGCTAATGTCGGTTTGAGTAGGTTTTTGTTATTTTGTATATTGGTAACTTGAGAACTAAAGAAAAGGTTTGAAAGGAAAAAAGACCATTAATCAGAATAACTCGGAGTGAAATTTGCAGACCAATGGTTCGACACATTTCAATTCATTAAAATTTTATTAAAGACTTTTAAGGTGTCAGTGTGTTTATAATCAATCAAAAGATGACAACAAAGCTATCTGACAAATGTAGCTGAAAAGGATGATTGGTGCATTTAATAAATTCTACCTGTATGTGCCTTTCCTACCACAGTCACAAGTATCCAGATGTAAGAGATCTGCTATGCTGTGACTGTTATGGTACAAATATGACAGTTACTATGGGTTCAAATGAACAATCATGTTTTAAATATTATGCCTAGGATTTCCTCCAAATGTTCTAAACTGCATCCAGAGTTAAAACATCTTTTTTTTTTTTCTTCTTTTTAGGGTACCAGCTACTGATATCAAAAACTTACTCGCATGTGAATTTCTTCATTGATAGACTCCTTTTTGTTGGTCTTTTTAACATCCAGATATCTGACCAATGGTCCAATTGTGATTCCCTGCATTTGGAAAAACTGAGTTGAAATGTTAAAATGTTAATTAATTTCACCCCTCCCACACCTCCCCTCCNNAACAAGAAAAAAAAAGCAAATGGATTTAATTTAAGCTGTCAGAAAATTTTTCTCTTAGAGTAATTAGGGGTTAAACCTGAAGAGGATTAAAACTCAAAAACTTAATATATATATATGGCTATTTTAAAAATCAATATCATATTTATCAAGGCATTTTAACTACGTAAGGTAACTGACTCTTTGTCAAATTTCACAAAAAAAAAAAACCTTCACTTGAATGAAAACATTGTCTTTTTTAGTCCCTACAATCCTGAAACTTTTTACTTCAATATTTTCAAAGTTATTATTTTTTTTTAATGTTGAAACCATTTTCAGCTGCTCCCAGTTCCCCATTGCACAACTAGAGAATCTGGCATTTAAAAAGGAGATACAGAAACAAAACTGGTTTATTGAAACATTTTGACGGGATCTAAGTGCTTAACCACAAGTGTGTAGAGTTTCATGGGCACTCTAAAGTATATGAAATCTTTGTATGGAGAACTAAAGAGCATGGGACATCCAGAAGATCCAGCTCCTCCCTGCAGAGCACTGTAAGCCAAGTGGAATAAACTAATCACCTCAGTTATGTGAAAGCAACTCATTAAGAAATGCAGTTACCTGGATGAACACAGTGAAATATATAACTACAAGTGTAGCAGTAATGAACAATTTTTTTCTTGGGAAGAGTTTCACTGGAAGCAAGAATGCAAGAGAAAAGCTGCTGGCTCCTCGAAGACCACTGTAGGAAATAATGAGTTGGTCTTTGAAGGTGAAGGGGTACGTTCGGAACTTGTTACTAATGTAGAAGAGGGCAAATACACCTAGAAAGGCCAAAAAACAAACGACAACAACAAAAAACAAACATTTAAAAAAAAAAGCATAACTATTAGGCAAGCAGGAAAAGACAATATTTAAAACAAAACATCTTGTCCCAGGAAGCTGTTGACAGACATTTCTTTTGATTTTTGGTTCTTGTAAGTTCTCTTTGATCTACTGCTGCATCTGCCTATGTGAAAAAATGTCTTAGAAAAAGAGTATATTTACTAACTGCTTCAAGTTTTAAATGTACATATGGGTTTTGAAGTGAGATCAGGGGAAAAGATTTACTTCCTATATTTATGTTGCACAGTTCTCTGAAATGTTGTGAAAAAGCGGTAAACCACTAGAAAACATTTTTTCCTCTGCTTTCCCTTGCAATGTTTCCTACTTTCTGCACATGATCTGCCCACAGTGTTTGAACAGTTATTTATTAACATGTCCTGTGGACAGGTTTACTGAAAGGCAGAAAGTAATAGCATTTTAATTTTGAATCCCCCAGTTTATTGTCTCTGTAATTCTGTTTATTTCTTTGCTTTCATTTCCCTGATAATAAAAAGTTAATCAGACAGTCTGTGGCTGTGTAAGGACTGCAGTTTTTTGCTTTATAGAGTACATTTAGTGAACTCCTTGAGTTTCTCTTAATCTTCTTTATCATAAGACACGTGTCTTATGATTTTGTGTAAACTGTTATGCTGCAGAAATAAATGTTGAATATTGGGCAGACAAACTTAATACACTATGCTAGACATCAACTACTCAGATTGAAACTGTGTTATGTGAGGTGTCACCTCTGGGCCAATTCTTTTTACCTTATTCAAGCTACAGAGAAAATGACGCAATTATTTTAGCAAGCAAATTCAAGACAAATATTTTGACCTTCCTCAAGAAAACTCTAGCACTCACCTAGGTATCTGAAAGATAAAAGAACATGTGGAAGAAAAGTGACTTTTGTATTACAAAAGCAATTTTTCTGTCTTTATCTGAAGGATATTTCTATATGGACTCCAAAATTAAGCTTTTAAAAACGTACAGACTATGCTTTGTCCAAAATTAGCAAGAAAATATTCAATAATTACTGCCTTCTTGCTGTCAGCCCGCAAGAGTCATATCACCTCTGTGGTTGAGTACTCATGTCAACACCATATAACAGAGCTGTTCTCATGCATATTTTTGAATCTCCATAAGTCTTCCTCTTTTTCCTCTAGTTAAATGCCTTCCTCCAGGTCTTGAATTCCAAAGATCTGGAAACTTCTATCAACTTTGAGGGTCAAACCAATATTTCTTCCTGCTTTGTTGTCCTATTTGAGTTTGGAATTAACCACTTCAGAGTTCTACAAAATGTTATCTGAACGTCAGTTCCTCAGTGCCAACACTTAGTTGGTCCCAGACTCAGAGTACTGTAGGTTGGAAAGGAACTTTGGAGGTCATCTAGTTCAAACTCCTGATCAAAGCACATCTAATCAGATCAGGCTTTTCAGAGTTCCAATTTAGTCTTGAATGCGCTCAAGGACTGAGAGCTGTGCTGCATTTATAACAATGGAGCGCTCTTACATTAAGAAATTAGTTCCTACTCTCTATTTAAAGTTTTTAGTGTTCCAGCTTGTGTCTGTTGTCTCTTATCCTACTGGAATGCACCTCTGTGAAGTCTGGCTTCATCATCTCTCTATCCTCTGACCGAATACTTGTAGATATCAGTAGGGTCTACTCCAAGCTACCTCTTTTTCAGGCTGAGCAGAGCCAGCTCTCAGACTCTTCTTGTATGTCCAGTGCTCACCACTTTGGCAGCTTCTACTGCACTTAATCCATGATCTCTTTTCCAGGAAGTCCAAAACTGAGCACGGCACTCCAGACACAGCAAATACTCTTACTGCTGCTGAATAGAGAGAAAGAAATTCTTCCTTGGACCTACTGGCTACAAACTTGCTTGTGAAGGGTAGGATGCAGTTGTTCCTCTTTACCAAAAAGGCACACTTCTGACTTTTGTTCAGCCTGCTGTCTACCTAGTGAGGTCCTCCTCTACAAAGCTAATTCCAGCCTGTGTTAGTACACAGAGTGATTGCAACCAAGATGTCAACCCCTACATTTGCTTTTTTGTGAGTTTTGTGAGCTCTCCTTCAGAACTTTTTTTCCAGTCTGTTCAGTTCTCATTGAATACTAGCCTTGCCATCCATTATATTGACTACTCCCCTCAGCTTGATGTCAGCTGCAAACTTGCTGAGTGTACACTTCATTCCATCCTCCAGGTCGTTAATGAAAGCTATGCTGATCCCTTCACTGAGCCCTGAGGGATGTCACTGAATCACAGAATAACAGAATCGCAGAATGGTCTAAGTTGGAAGGGACTCTTAAGATCATCTAATTCCAACCCCGTGCTATAGACAGGGACACCTCCCACTAGACCAGGTTGCTCAAAGCCCCATCCAGTCTAGCCTTGAACACACTCACAGCCTCCCTGGGCAAAAAAAAAAAAAAAAGTTCCAGTGTCTCACCACCCTCACAGAAGAGAATTCCTTCCTAATATCTAGTCTAAATCTACTCTCTTCCAGTTTAAAACCATTCTCCCTTGTCCTGTTGCCACACTTCCCTATACAAAGTCCTCCCCCCAGCCTTCCTGGAGGCCCCCTTCAAGTACTGTAAGGCCACTATAAAGTCCTCTGGAGCCTTCTCTTCTAGTATAGAGAAGAGGGGCAGAATCAACTCCCTTGACCTGCTGGTCACAATTGATGCAACTCAGGACATGGTTGGCCATAATCCTGATGTTTGTCTACTAGCTTGCACCTCTCAGGATCTTATCTTTCACAGTCTCATGCTCACTGCAGTCAGAGCTGCCGTTGATCTTCACATCTTCAGATGTTCCTTCCTTCTATGCGAGTAGAAGAAAAGACAAAGTATAATTCATGGTTGTCTCACTGACAAATGCATCAAGAAATTTTCTTCAACATTTTTCAGAAAACTCCTGGATAGCCATATTGCCCTTCTAACAGATACTGGCATAATTAAAGTCTCCCATGAGTATCAGGGCCTGTAACACTTTCTCCAGTGCATAAGCAATGCTTTGTCTGTCTGCTTTTCTAGATAAGAAGATCTGCAGTAGACAGCTATTAAAATATCAGATGTACTGGTCTCTCCGAACCACTGGTCCTCCGATTACTATGCACATACTTTCTGTTGGCTCCTCATCTTTGCCAAGGGAAAGCTCCATACATTCAATCTGTATTTTGTAAAGAGAACAGTCCATCTTCCTTGTCTTCCTATTCTGTCTTTCTCAACTTTTCAAAGTTTCTGCTGGCCCATCCTTGTCATCAGGAGAAGATGAGAAATGGTGTCCCATAGCTAATGTGACATCCTCTAGGAAATCCTCTGCCCATGCTCAAGGAATCATAGTCTCACAGATAAGGAAGTAGGAGACCTTTGTAGGAACAGGAAAATACTGTGTGCAGAAATTGAATAATTTCATAGGCACTACTTTCTAGTTGTTTAAAACCTCAGTGTCCAAACTGACTTGTGAAGATCATTAGTATAGTGTGGATTGCAACCCTGTGCAGTGGTATTGGCTGAGGAAATGCAACTGGAAATCTGCCTAGAAGAAAAGGTCCTGGGGTGCTGGTTGGCAGCTGGCTAAACAGTTACACAATGTGATGAAAATACTCTGAAGCCCACTTATCCACAGGCATATATTTAACTAAGATGTCTGCTTCTATATAGGCATAATCATGGCAATGTTTCAATTTTGCTTAATATTTTCTATTCTTACCTAATCATATAGCCTGTGCTTGAAAATTGGCATTAAGATTTGTTTGACATTTTTCCTTCTTTTTCTGCATGCGTGGATTTGTGAAATGAAGTTGTCTGTAATGCATGCCTAGTAAATTCATTATTAAACTGGTTATACCAGTCTGCAATGGATTTTCTAACATACCTTTGCACCGAAAGGTTTCTTTCAGAGATGCAGACCAGGTTGTCTGCAAAAACTGACTTACTCAGTGTCCGCCAAATGAGGCAGAAAAGCAGAGTGAAGCAAATAAAAGCCCAGTTCCACTCATGATTTTTCCCCACTGTAGACACTCCCATGAAAACAAAGATCAGGGTCTCGCTGACGCTGCTCAACATCTTCATGAAGTATTTTATTGTCGTGTAGGAATTCTGGGAAACATTCTCCTCCACATATTTTTTCATAGTCACTGCACATGCTGTCATTCTGTAGGAGGTAAAACATCAGAGATCAACCACAAACTGCTTTTGTTGTTGTTCGTTTGTTTTTTATTTAATAACAACTTGAGACTGCATTTATAGTCTTCACTGTCAAATTTTAACCTTCCTAGTATAATGTAGCATTTTTCTTCTTCAATAATACTAGCTATTTCAGTTAAGTAAAAGAACTTCATTCAGCTTTATGAATCCATTTTGTATACAGGAAAAAGGAAGCAAATCAGTCAGATTCCCTTGAGGGGAAATGAGGATATCACATTCCTGTTCAAAGTCCTTTTGTATTCTGAATGCATAACGCACAACCACCAAGCATCAAATATTTGAGTATCAAACAAAGGGCAATCAATTTTGTACCAGGCTGTGGCTGTATTAATTAGAGGGACATAACCTGCCTGTGAGTGATCTTTGCCTTGAGATGCTGGTGGAAGAACACGGCTGTAGTTCTATGCAAGGATCAAAGACTCCAGTGAGTCCTTGCCAGCTGGTTGGCAGATCAGCAGGACCAGGACAAGCTTCAGAAATTCTCCTCCCATAGAAGTCCACTGCTGCACAGCAGGGGAAAATTTAATTACCCTACAGATACGTCTTTTATTCCTTATAGTTATCCAGAGTGTGGGAAATGCTCCTAGGGAAGGAAAGGAATTTTTTCCACCTCTTTAGTCCTTTTTACTCAAGCTAGAGCCAGCTTCAGAGGTATCAGCCATGTCCCAACACAGATACTTGTCATATTCATGTTGAACAGTAGTCTTCAAGCAAGATTACTGAACAGTTTACTCTTATCTCCTTCATTTTCCACAGCTGTGGATAATTAGATAGATTTAGTGCAAGGCTAATAATATATTCCATCATCTTTCTAGTTCCTGTTGATGTTATTTAGTCTTTGGGGGCTTCTTGTGATGATATTTTTCCAAACTTGTAAATTTGGAGAACATTGACTGCTCATTAAATAAGCCTTTATCTAGTTTCTGTTCTTTTAATTTCTGTTGAAGAAATCTCAAGGGTATTCTGGTAGAACTGAGCAGGTCCAAGGACATTCTAAGGCAATGCCATTAGGCATTAAATTTTAATACTGTTGACTTTCAGAGACACATGCATAATCAACTTTCATGATACAAGTGAAAAATGAATGAATTCCTCAATAATTTAGAAGGGTGACAATAAGTTCCCATCCCCAAAACAAGGAGTAATTTCCTTAATGAAGCAGTAAGAATAATAAATCCCAATTATATTAACATTTTTTATTACTAACAACTTCAGTGCCCTAATGAAAATCAGAAATAAGAGAATATAGAGCTATGTAGTATAGTGTAATGGGTAGGCAAGGAAGCAGTATTCTGGGCAGTGCAGGTAGGAAAGAGCCCATGTGGTATTAGTACTCACTATGTAGTAGGTCTCATCCTGCTCATCCCCCTAATTTTAGGGTTAGGGTTAGGGTTAGGTATCTGAGGTACCTAAGAGCAAAGATGTTGGAGACACAGAACAGAGCCCAAGACTCAATTCCTTTTTCTCATTGCTCAGAGAAACTCATTTCCTATCTAAATAGTTGTTTAATATGGATAATATTCTAATCTGGCTTTCCAGAGTTAGTACAAAGCCAGTCGTTCTCTGAAGCTAACCAAACCTGAGTTTGACAGGTAGAAATGAGCAGATGTAACTATCTCAACAGTCACATACATTGGCTACAGGTTTTGCCACCTTGCCAAGTGACCTGTTCTTTACATTTCCCTCTTCTGAAGAGTTGTTAGGTGCAGAATCCTTCAAATCTCCTTACCAGAAGTTTTACCCTAATGTCTCTCACTTTTACCCCCTATTCCTTTCTCTTCTTCCAGTAATGCTACTCAAACCTAGTGTAATTCCAATAAATTGTGTCAGAAATGATTTTCACAACTATACACAAAAGCAATAACCCTGACATTCCTAAGTTTTTAAATTTCCACTCATTATTTTTCTTCATCTCTATTCTTATCCAGTGTTGAACGCTTAGCCGTAAAGGCACATACACAAGTCTATCATCAATCCATTCTCTCACTGAACTGGTTCTACCAGAGGTAGACTGTTCCCTCATGCTCTGAGGAACAGAAAACTGTCAACTGGTGGCAACAGCAGACATCGTACTCACAGTTTGCAAAATTTTCTTTTCCAGTGGGCAAGAATAAAACAAAACATTGTCAGCACAGATATCTACTCCTCAGTAGTACATCTCTGCCTACTCTGAGTGTAGGCTTGCTTCTCCTAATTATCACAGTACTTACAGACCACTTAGAAGCTGTTTACTGACAATTTGTAGGCCACAGGCTGAAAATGCTGATATTAGTACAACCCCAATCTCAAGTAAACCATCTCCATGAAACATTGCTCCTTTCCCCAAGAGAGCATCTGAAAAGGCATAAGGAATACTCACGCCAAGATGCCTGAGATGTAAAGGATTTCAGCACACAAGTATGACAGGTAGCTGAACATGAAGACCAGCAGTGGTTCGATAGCGGAGACATTGTGGGTGAATCGAGTCATGAGGGCTGAAACAAACCCGAAGACAATGCCGAACAGCATGCCACCCAGTCCCACAACGAAGAAGCGAGCAAAGCCAGCGAGGATATCAATGGATTCTATCTCTTCGTACTTGTGCATCTGGGTGAAGGCGATGAAGATGTTGTATAACACCTGTGTACAAAATGAGGAGATAGCTGTCAGGAGTCTTTCAGAAGCTTGCAGGCTTACTCATTTGATACATATATCTGTGTACATATGTGTGCCAGATATTGCTTTAGGCAGATCAGCAAAGTAATATTTGAAATCTCAGATGGCTCATAATACATCCCAAATTAGGTGCTTTCCAAGTGTTCTGAAAATGGCAAAAAATGGAGAGTAGGTTGACAGTTATGTAAAAAGAGTAAAACTCTCAGGGATCAAATGTAATTAATGTAGCTGAAAAATACTAATGCTTTTTTGGTTTTTGTATCAGATGTTCAAAGCCCAGCTGGGTACCTTACCAAGCCCACATGCACTCTCACATTCTCCTTCTGACTCATGATGGGGCAGGGCAGAAACTGCAAAATATACTTCTTATATAAAACCTGTTTAGCTGGTCTGTATGATCTGTAAATTGAGCGCACTTCATTGGGTGGACTCTGAAATATCAAATGTCCTTCAGTAGTGCTTGATGCGTAAAAATCGTTTAACATCACATCTCCAATGGGAAAGGAAGCAGGAGGAAGGG